GCTGTCGTGTTTTTTTTTTTTTTTTTTTTTTTTCCTTTTGTGCTCTGAATGTGGATGCTTGTGGGTGTTTGTGAGTGCTTGTATTTTTTGTATATGTGTGTGCGTGTTGTGTGTGTGTGTGTGTGTGTGTGTGTGTGTGTGTGTGTGTGTGTGTGTGTGTGTGTGTGTGTGGTGTGTGTGTGTGTATGTTTGAATTCTATATTTGTGTATGCGTGTACTTGTGTATGTGCGAGTGTGCTTCTATTTGTGTGTATTTTTGAATACTGTATTTGCATATGCGTGTACTCGTATGTGTGTGTGTGTCTGTGTGAGTATGTTTGAATTCCATATTTGTATATGTGTGCATTTGCGTGTGTGTGTTTGCGATCGCCTGTAAGTCTTTGCCCATTAGCTATGTGAACTTCCTACCAGCACAGTTACTCTAAACCACCTACTCTGAAACGCTCCAACTCCGAGTCCCTTTCCATTCCAAAACAAGTGTAAACATTGTCTCTTCCCTCCCCCTCCCCCCTCCCCCCCCCGCCTCCCCTGTCTCTCCCCGTCGCGCCCTCTGGCTAAACAAGGTTACACTTCGTCTCCCTCTCCTTCGGCTGTTAATAATCACTTTACAGCGTTTTTCTTTCCTTCCTAATAAAGACGAAACTTTTTTTTTTTTTTTTTTGAGGGTTTACTTCTGTGCAATGTCTTTAGCGTTTCTCTTTTCTCTTTTTTTCTCTCTCTCGATACTGGTTTAGTATATGTATATATGTATATATTATATATATATATATATATATATATATATATATATATATATATATATAATATATATATTATATGTGTGTGTGTGTGTGTGTGTGTGTGTGTGTGTGTGTGTGTGTGTGTGTGTGTGTGTGTGTGTGTACATGTATATGTATATATATATATATATATATATTATATATATATATATATATATATATATATATATATATATTATATATAATATATTATATATATATATATATATATATATATATATATAATATATATATATTTATATCTGTACATATATATATATATATATATATATATATATATATATATATATATATATATATATATATATATATTATATATATATAAAATACACACACATAACACACACACACACACACAGATATATATATATATACATATATATATAATATATATATATATATATATATATATATATATATATATATACATATATATATACATATCATCTGTCCCTCTGTTTCCTCCTCCTCCTCCATTTCCTTCCCCTCCTTTGGATAATTTTATCAAAGTTTTTCTAACAAGCTCCATTTGCACCCTGAGCAGGACACCCACTCGTCTTCTCTTTTTCGTCTATGTCTTCCTGCCTTCCTCTTTCTCTGTTTATTGTCTTTATCTCTCCCTTTCTTTATCTTTTCTCCCTTTTTCTTGTTTCTATTTTATGTCTTAATCTCTCTCTTTCGTTATCTTTTCTCCATTTTTTCCAGTTCCTATTTCATGTCATTATCTTTCTTTTTCTTTACTATTTTCCCATTTTTCCAATTTCTATTTTGTGTCATTATTTTCCTTTATTTTTTCTCCTTTTTCTTGTTTCTGTTTTATGTCATTATCTTTCCCTTTCTTTATTCTGTTCCCCTTTTTCTTATTTTTATTTTATGTAATTATCCCTTCTTCTTTTTTTACTTTGCTTCCATTTTTCTTGTTTCTTTTTCATGTCTTTATCTCTCCTCCTCTTAGTTTGTTTCCATTTTTCTTATTTCTCTTCTGTGTCTTTATCTCTCCCTTTCTTAACCTTTTCCACTTTTTGTTGTTTCTATTTCATGTTTTTATCTCTCCATTTCTTTAAGTTTTCCCTTTTTCTTGTTTTTGTTTTATGACATTATCTCATTATCCCTTTTTCTTGTTTCTATTTCATGTCTTTATTCCTCCCTTTCTTTACCTTTTCCCTTCTTCCCACATTCGTCTCCCAGGAAATCTTCTCGTCTGTCTCTTTATCTCACAATCGCTTTGTCTTGACTGTCATGGATTCCAAGAAGCGTGACAGAGCTTTTCATTCTTTTCCTCTTTTTCTATTCATGTCCATATTCATATCTTTGTCTGTATTTGTCTCTCTTTCGTTTCCTCTTTCTGTTTATATTTGTATTTATGTTTATGTTTACGTTTATGTCTATTATGTCTCTTTTCTTTCTCTTTCGGTTTATATTTATGTTTATGTTTACGTTTATGTCTATGTTTGTATTTTTCTGTCTCTTTTCTTTCTCTTTCTGTTTATATTTGTATTTATGTTTATGTTTACGTTTATGTCTATGTTTCTATTTTTCTGTCTTTTCTTTCTCTTTCTGTTTATATTTGTATTTATTTTCATGTTTACGTTTATGTCTATGTTTGTATTTTTGTCACTTTTATTCTCTTTCTGTTTATATTTGTATTTATGTCTATGTTTACGTTTACGTTCCCTCTTTCTGTCTGTTTATTTATTTATTTATCAGCCTATTTGTCTATC